ACAGCACTAGAACCCGATCACCGGTTGCTTGTTAATCAGAGATTAGAAATATAGGAAAGGACAAACAAGAAAGGGAAAGAAATGGAGTCCGAGACGTCTATGCCCTCCAGCTCCCCTTCCTCTCCTTTCCACTTCACACCACCAGACACAGACGTCGAAATGAGGAGCCTCACCGCACCAACAGCAGTCCACACAGACACAGATACAGACCCACGGCCCGAGAATGAAGAGAAGGCAGACACGCGCCAGTTCACAACGCGCGCAGTCGCCGTGGGCCTCCTCGTGGGCACGATCGTGAACTTCTCAAACATGTATTTTGGCCTGCAGAGTTAGTGATCTCTCCCCCGGGGGTGGTGCATACATACCTCTAGATCTGTATACCCCCATATCCACCAATGCCAACTAGCTAAACCGTCTCTCCTCCTATAGCCGGCTGGGTCTCCATGATGTCCATGCCCTCATCCCTGATCGGGTTCGCGCTCTTCAAGACCTTCTCCGCGCACCTCTCGTACCCCTTCACGCCCACCGAGAATGGTAATTGTCTCCCTACACCCCCCAGCGCAGTCAGTCAGCCCAAACTTACCCATAACCAGTACTCGTCCAGACTGTCGCAGTCGCCGTAGGCTCCATGCCCCTCTCCGCCGGCTTTGTCGGCGTTATCCCCGCCCTCGAAACCCTTCTCCTCCCCTCCGAGGGCGGGCCCCTCCACATTTCAATCCCCAAGCTCATCCTGTGGAGCATCGGCGTCGCCTTCTTCGGCGTCTTCTTCGCTGTTCCCCTGCGCCGCCAGGTCATCGTCAAAGAGAAACTTCCCTTCCCCAGCGGCACCGCAACAGCACTCATGATCGCCGTTCTCCACGGCAAGGACACCCGCAACCTCGTCGCCTCCTCCTCCACCTCCTCCTCCTCCACCTCCTCCCCCAGCGCCGAACCCGAGCGCCCACCAAGCGCCGAGGACCACGCCCGCAGCTGGAAATCCAAGACACGGCTGCTCGGCGGCGCCTTCTGCGTGAGCGCGGCCTACACGCTTGCCTCCTATTTCGTCCCTGTGCTGCGCAACCTCCCGGTCTTTGGGCGGGGGCTCGCAACGCACTGGCTCTGGGCGCTGAACCCAAGTCCTGCATATGTGGGGCAGGGTATCATCATGGGCACCTCGACGACGCTACATATGCTGCTCGGGGCGGTGGTGGGATGGGGCGTGCTGTCGCCGCTGGCGAAACACAAGGGCTGGGCGCCCGGGCCCGTCGACGACTGGGTGAAGGGCAGCCGCGGCTGGATTGTGTGGGTCAGTCTGGCAATCATGCTCAGCGACAGTGTCGTCTCGCTCGGTGGGCTGGTGCTGGAGCCTGCGGTGCGCGCAGTCATGGCACTACGAAGGCGTGGCGAGGGCGACGGAGGATCCTACCAGCGGCTTCTGCAGGGCGGTGATGAGGACGGCGCGCAGAACAGCTCCTACGAATCTGTCGCCGGGACACTCCACCACCGGCGCCCCCGCAAGCCGCACCACGACCTTCCCGAAGAGGAGGAAGCGGAAGACCTCCCCCCCTCACACCTCGTCTCCAACAAGACCGTCTTCATCGGCCTCTTCCTCTCCGGCCTTCTCTGCATCTTCTCCACAACCCTCGTATTCCCCACCGTTCCCCTCCCCGCCACTCTCACCGCCTTCACCCTCGCCCTCCTCCTCTCCATCATGGGCGTGCGCGCACTCGGCCAGACAGACCTCAACCCCGTGTCGGGCATCAGCAAGCTCACGCAGCTGCTCTTCGCCCTCATCACCCCCAGCGTGCTCACCAACCTCGTTGCCGGCGCCATCTCCGAGGCCGGCGCACAGCAGGCCGGCGACATCATGCAGGACCTCAAAACCGGGTACCTCCTCCGCGCCTCGCCCCGCGCACAGTTCCATGGCCAGCTCATCGGCTCCGTCGCTGGCGCGGTGGTCTCCGCCGTTGTCTACAGGCTCTACACAACGGTCTACCCCGTGCCTGGCGAGCTGTTCCAGGTACCCACGGCATACGTGTGGGTGGACTGTGCACGGCTCGTCAGCGGCGAGGGTCTGCCCAGGGGCGCGTGGACAGCCGCGTGTATTGCTGCTGCGGCGGGCGCGGCGGCAACGCTCGCGAGGGGGTGGGGGCTGAAGGGGTCGGCGTGGAGAGAGTGGGTGCCTGGAGGTATCGCGGTGGCCGTGGGCATGTATAATGTCCCGAGCTTCACGCTGGCGAGGGCCGTAGGCGGTGGGGTGGCATGGTGGTGGCAAGGTGAGGAGACGAGGTTGGTGATATTGGCGAGTGGGTTGATATTGGGGGAGGGCGTGGCAAGCGTGCTGTGTCTGGCGATGGCGAGTGTGGGCGTGCCGCACTGGTAGGTAGGGGTGCGTCATGGGGTGTCACTCGGGTGGGGGGTAAGTATGGTGTGTTTAGATAGATGCTGGGTTAGATTGTGCTTTTTTTTTGTATATTAGATGATTGCTAACCGCGTAGTTGATAAATTAATTAATTTTACAGGACTCACCTCGACTCCTCCTTCCTCCTCCGCTACTTGTAGATTTCTTTGTCCTCCTCCGCGGTGTTCTCTAACTAAACTGGTAAGACAGAAGCACCCGAATCGGCGATTTTGAAGAAGAAATAAGACTATCCTTGATAGTACCCGGGCCCGCGCACCAATGTTATCATTGCAAAAGGATCCAAGAGAGTGGTCTCATGCCGTATATAGAGATAGCCTAGATCAACGATATTGCAGCAGGAAGATAAGCTGGAAAGAAAAGAAGAGATTCTCTGTCCCAAGCGCCCTAACCCTATCCCTGGTGGTGAGCGGAGAGAGTCGTTTCCTAAAGACAACACAACACGATTTTCCGTGTGCTGAGATGTTCCAGGAATGATAGTGTGATAATTCTTTTATTATATACAATCTGGCCGCGGAGACTCTGGATAGCCTTCTCACTATCCCTTCCTTCGTCTGTCGATCGATACTAACCCATATTTCTATGATATAATAGAAGGTTGTAATTTTGGTGAGATACAATGAGATCAAGATAAAAAAAGCTTGGGGGCCTAGTAGCCATATCGGTCGGAGCAAATGGTTTATGGACGAAGGTTACGTTACCTGCTTACTTACTAACCCTAGCCCTCGGTTTATTGAAGAGGGTTGCGTTAGCGGCTTACTTACTAACCCTAACCCTCGGTCAGAGTAGGTACGGGAGCTGCGCTGCGCTTAGCAACGAGTATCTGAGTACTCTTACTCTACAAGGACTCGAAGTCGGGCTCTCAAGCCGCTGCGCGGCTTTCGACCCCTCCTTTCTCGCACTTGTAGTAGTCTTTTATATAGGAGACTGCTTTTACTACCCAATTCGAAGTACATAGTTTCGTCCCCAGAGTTATGTAAAACAATCTGTTGGCGGAGGTCGTTGATTATTTTTCGCGATATCGAACAGGATAACTACATCTACATACATCATGTCGTCTTGGCCTTTCTCACATTTCTCCCCATACCCTGAAGTAAACTTCAGGGCAAACGGTTTATGAAAGAGGGTTACGTTACCTGCCTACTTTATGGCGCCAGCCAACTTTAGCGGTGGGCAGCGTTACAGCTACGAAGGGATAAAAACACTAAATAGGTACATAGGTGCTCTACTTATCTCTCCAAATAAGAAGCATGGAGGACCTAAGCTACATGTACGTAGAGTAGGCCTCGCTAGAGTTTCATCCTCCACGTTCCACACCACCAAAGTACCAGAGCTCCCCACAATCATGAACTCTCAATCGCCGCGAGAGCCGACGCCAGCGGCGAATTCCGAAGACCGCCAAGCCTTATCTGTCTAGCGCTAACCCTATCTGTAAGCTGGGCCAAAAAATGAATAATATAAATCGGTTAAAGTGGCAGCTATCTCAATGGGGGCGTGGTTTAGTGGTATAATGCTTCTTTAGCATAGAAGCGGTCCGGGGTTCGATTCCCCGCGCCTCCATTTTTTTTCATTTTGACTTTTTATCTCTGGTATCGTGGGGAGCGTCAGTGAGTTGATTTTTTGGATGTGCGCTGTGAGGGCTGCGAATGGTGTCGGTCGCGAAACGGAAAATACCCCCCACCCTACCAATCACACCATGAAAAGAAATTAGATAGAGGAAAAATTAAAACGACCATTCTCCAGCTCTGTCGATTCTCTATATAGATTGGACATTCTATTTTTTGGTAATTTCTTATTTTTGGGGTACATATGCTAGCTAGCTAATCGAGGTATCTGTTACTGCTACCGAGATTAAGGGTTAGGGTTGGTGTGAGTGAGATACCATGTCTGCAAATCCGGTCACGTCCCGAGGGTATAGCATTGACAATCCGCGCCTTACAGAGCTCAGGGCCCGGGTAGAGTCAGTCACAGTACTTGGAACTCTCTCATCGAGAAAGTTTTCTAAATTGATGAGAATGCTAATTAAAAAAAAGTGTATGGAGGCTGGATGGATGTATGAAACTGAACAAATTCGTAAATGCCGTCCGTCTCAGGCTACAAAAAAAAAAAAAAAAAAAAAAAAACCTAACTAGCATAATTTCTATCCTCTCGAAAATTTGGTCCATACGAAACCTCCGGAATTTTTAAAGAAAAGCAAAACCTATACTATACGGGTGCTCAACCTAGCGTGAGAACTTTAGAATTTCTAGGGTGGCGGAAAGCCACATCCCCTCAAGATCAGAGACTCAAATTAGGTACAATCTTGTCCCTCTGATGACTTTGCCTGCATGTAATTATTACGGTGATTATGCCAGTCTATGCGCCATTATCACTCGCGTTGCTCACAGTAGGTTCCAAATATTTCCCAAAACATGTTGATATTCTTCTCGAGAGTCCAGGTATGCTCTATATAAAATTAAATACATACATAGTCAAGCGTGCAGGTAAACCGCCAAAACCAAATATCAACAATAAAGCACCCAAGAAACATCAACCCATCCCACTCATTAGAAAAGCTCCATTAAAATATACTCCCGCCTCATAAACCCCATACATCATTTGCTTACAACATAACAATAGCTGCGGCCCCAGAAATCAACAGAGCAACCAGACTGGTCATTCCAGAGATTGTGGAAGCCGAATTTGTGTTTGCGACGACTACACCAGTCGACGAGGCAGTCGCATTGGAAGAAGAGTTAGAGGCAGCCTGGGAAGACAATGCCGCAAGTGTTGATGTCGCCATGGTGGTAACAGCAGCTCCGGTAGCAGATCCGGATCCAGTCGCGGTGGCAGAGGCCTTTCCGGTCTTGGTGGCAGTGCTAGCGGCGTAGCCAGAGGCGCTTGGGACGGGCGTTATCAATTCGATTCTGTAACCATCGATGGAGAGCTCTCCACTGGGAGATGAAGCGGTCTTGATGTACGAGGAATAAGCCTCCTCATCAAAGGTCTTGGTCTCCCACCCAGGATTGGCGGTGATGGTGCTAGAAGCGTCCAAGTTTACACATCCAGGAGTGGCATATTGACAAAGATATCCTCTGCAGTTGCATCCGGATACTACATCATTGTCAATGTAAAGACTGTAGTATTCGTTGGCAGCCGCCCCAACCTCAGGCTGATCAGTGACGACAGAGCCTTCGGCGGTAATGGTGGCGTATTCATAGTAAGAATTGTCGGTGTCATAGTCACTGAGATCAGCGCTAAGATAACTATAGTATTCGATACTTGATGTTGGGGCGACAGTTGATGTTGGGACGACAGTTGCAGGGTCAACGTATCCGGGGCAGCCTGGGACGGTGGTCTTGGGAGGTGCACGGCCGCCGCCGCAGTCGAGGTAGGCAAGGGCGGTGGTAGCGGAGAAGAGGGCAACGAGGGCTGATGTGCGGTATTGCATTTTGAAAGGTTTTATTGATTATTAGATAACTGCAAGTGCAATTGATTGATTAATTAATAACGAATAGATAGCGATAGTTGAACGCTGGTTTGTTTCGTGAAACGAATGTGGGGGGATCGGACGGAATTAAAGTTGTCTGTCGAAAGAGTGGGACTACCGAAAGTTCGATGAAGAAGGGTAAAAAAGAGGAGGAAATGATAGAGACTTTATATCTTTATGATAGCACTAATGCAAGCTTAATATTTGATCACTTACCCTAAATGATTTTCTAGGAAAGGGAGCAGAGATCCGAGGTAGCCGAGACAGGGGCCTGGGGTTCGCTAGCAAGTGTGACTCTTCTTCAACAGTTGCAGTTAGATATAAGATTGTTGATCTCAATTGGGACATACACTAAACTGTACCGACGACCAGGTTTGTGGGCCCACGAGAGGGTCTCCTCTTTGTCTTTGATCTCCTCACCATTTTTTGCTGGAGGTCAACTGTGTCTGTAGGCACCCAAACTCACCTGGCATGGCCTTCAGTTCTCTGCCCATAAACATCGTCACATCTATCAGTCCCACAAAAAGGGTGAAAATAAAAGCAAAGCTCATATATACCTTCCTCACTCGGACGCCCCTGTGATCATGTTGCCACCAGCGCTTCCAATGAGTCAGGAACACGGCTCGTTTTTTACTTTAATTGCAAGGATATATAAATACCCGGTACCGATAGAATAACACCTTCTGGTTAACCATAACCGTCGAACAAATTTGAGTTTTAGACTTGCTAGCTCGTCCCAGATGGTCCAGGAAGAAAGACTTCCCCTGCACTTGGCAAAAGCTTGCTTCTTGAGGAACCTCGTACGGCATCAACCCGGGTATCCGACGGTTGATGATTTATCCTCTCACACCACTAGAGATAAAATCCTTAGTTTATTCTCAGGAGTTGAGAATTCAATCCGCGATATCCGGGGGCAGCCTGCGGATGCACTGTTATGTCTTCTTCCTATGTTCTATGTATTGCTGTTAGATTATCGATCACGGTACAGGTATGTATATATCGATATATAAAAGACTCGATATATAATATAATGAGTAGACATGTCCCTTGCATGAGCGTGAGATAGAAAAGGGTTGCAAGCATTATATCCCTTCTCCCGATTTCATACCCTCGTATATAACTAACTAAATGAAATGGCAAATTTAAACCTACTCAAGTGAGGTGTTGGACCCTCGGAACTTGGAAGCCCAGGATGGAAAGGAGTCCATCAAAAGGTGTATATAGGGCCCCACGTCTATCTGCTACCTCCGAAAAACTGATCAAAATCAGAGATCTAGGTGTTCCAGTAGTTTTGTTGGGCCTTCGGGGCTGCACAAGCAATATCGATACTTACTAGAAAAATAACGGCACCCACCGGCCTCGAAAGGTGCATACAGATTGCCGATTGCTCTGGGCAGAAATAAAGCGTTCAAGGGATAGATGCTGAAGTGTGATGAGACTTGGCAGGATTCGAGGTGTTTGTTGCCCTAGGACTAACAGCACCCCTCACGCCTTGGCGCTCCTCATTCTGTTCGTACAAATACCAGTGTTCCACCACTTGATAAACATTATCATTTTGATGGGCAGGGCGCACACTTTAGAAGGGAAGTTGATAGCATAGATAAAGGAATATTGAGTAAAAAGGTCGAATGCTGATGCCCATTCAGAAGATAACGATTCCGACAGAATAGTGGGGAGGTAAGAACAGGGACGTAAAATCCTAATTCTCAGCAGTTATAGGTCATATCTCTATCATGTAAGTCTAGTCTGGCGAACTTTAAGTTTCTTAGTTTCAGGCTGTACGAGCGGTACGATTCTAGTATTGCGAAATCTATGCCTGTGTCTTCATATATGGGCATATGTGCGATTTAGGGCTTCGAAGCTCTTCCTCTACACAACGTAGTCTAATGACTTATATATCCGCATTATTAATATTCGGCAAAGAGAGTAGTATCAGACCCCACGTCCTTCGAAAGATCGCGGCTACGGCAATCCGCGCCTACCAATAATAAACATCCAACCTCCCGTACTCGACTAAACTTATATCGTCAAAACTGTGCAATATGAGCAACGGTATATTCCCCGAACCACATACATGCTCTGTCAATATGCGGGGTCGGGCTCTCCAGTCCAATTACAACCCCGGTTTACCAGCCAGCCCCCGGGAGTTCCAATCCAGTCGGATATCTCCATCGTCTTCTCAAAGACATTTGTTTAGTGCCGATGCACGAGTAATGGTGACGTAGCTGTGTGCATCACTCATCGAGGCCTGGACACCAGGATATAGGTACGTTCAGTGTGCCTCATGAGCGATCACTCGAATCTCGTGCCGTGCTGTGCCTTGAGGATTTGATTAAATCTTCCAATAATGTTCTTCCAGGTATGCATACAAGCAATTATTCTCGTTTCAAAAATAGAATCTACGATAGTTGGCATCTAGCTGCCAAGATCGAGATCCGAGGAGGAAGTGAAGCAAAACAAAAATCCACCAGCCGTAGAGAATCCATATGAAGCTGCTTTTCCTTTCTATACCCCGCCCCCCCCTGGATATACATAGCCAAATGAAAGCCCTCAAAACCAGTGAGCTAGGGGTGTAATACGGAATCCAGGCTAGGTGAGTTAAAATGGCGGCCCATATCAGCTATCTAAACAGCAAAATAGCAGCTCAAGTCGCTCTACTCATCTACCCTAGATACCGCAGTACCTAATATGTACATCCTCATTTAGTTAGATTCAAACCAGTTCTTGGCGGTGTCTACTAGTATCTTCCTAACGTTTTTGAACTGGGCCATTATTGCATACACCCAAAATCATGAGCTTGGCGTATTTTTGTATGGCATGCACTATCAGTCGCGTCCACAAACGTCAGGAAAATACGAGTACGGCACATACATATGTACATACATACATGTACTCTACATATGAACTACATGTACGTGAGATTTCTTAATAGCTTGGCGAAATACGATGCCAAATAATTAAAGTGTGCTAGAAAAACAAATACAACCATGCAAGAGTACTCTAAAAGTACAACCAATCAAACAAATTTTTGGACTTTCCCTCCCTATAAAAAAACATAGCGCACTGATAATGGATCCCCGAACATTAATATGATGTGAAAAATAAAAATGCCCGAATTCCCTATCCCTTATTTCCGCGATCTTCCTCATGGAGACTACTATAATACCGCATGTAGTAAGCCCAAGAATAAGAATGACTCTCCCATTCTGGCCCATTACGTCGGTGGATACGTACATTCACAAGGGAACTGAGTGGTAAATGAGGCGTTTATGACGCATTTAGAGTAGCAAACTGAAATGAACCCCCAGAATAAAAGAAATAAATAAATAAAACTCCCAGGCTGGATGGATAGTTGTACTAATAAGATGAAAATGAGCAACAACGAACAATGAACATCTAATAAGGACGGCAAACTCGATCCAAAATGATGCTTTTGTTAAAAGAAAAAGCAGACAGTGGATAACAAACGAAAATGTAACTCAGTCTGTGAGTGTGGAAATTAAGGAAAGAGATCGACAAAGTACTGAAATCATGAAAAAAGGTAACCCGTGCTCCTAAAAATAGATAGAAGAGAAAAAAAACCACCTGTACTATCCTTACCAAATCCCAATAATGTCGAGGGGAACCAACAAAAAAAAGTTATCAAAATACGCAAGATATATGTAAAGCGCCTGAACGTGCAGTAGATCAGGTAATCAACACACAGATCCTAAGAGCACTGAGAGTAGTAGCAGTAGAGGCAGTAGAGGCAGTAAACGACCTCTAACGACATAGGGGAGATCACGCAAAAAAATAAAAAAATAAAAAATACTCAAAACACCCTGCAATGATATCTTTGACAGAAGTGTTTGCAAATCCCATCGTTCCAGAGCAACCAACAATACTGACACTGCGCCAAGCCCAGTAAAAAAAAGTACAGAATGAGAAACGGCATATATCCACATTTGTTCTCCAAAGTCCCCCCCAGTGATGCACACTGGACAAATATCCCTTCAATTCCTCGCTCGCAATTGTCAAAATACCGCTGCTAAACCGTGTCGAGAATTCCTTTTCGAAAATCTTTTGTTTGTTCGCCCATCGCCACTGTCACCAGTGCCACGTGCTTGTTGGTGCGAATGACTGGTGATTGCCTCAAGAGTGAGGGTAGATGAAGGGCTGGACAAGGTGCTCGCCATAAAGCTATCGTCTGGTGGGTGATTTGCACTAGCGATTTCCCGGGCACGATCTATTGTTTCCAGCCACTCGCTCGCTGAGGTCTTTGGATCTTCAAAGGTGTATGTTTTGTCGCGCTGAAAAATACCGTCAGTTATTTACCCACTCAGCAACCAATCGTGTAATAGGTCTTACGGTATCAATAGCCCAAGTGCTGTCAGTAACCTTCCTCGCAATGACGCCTGACCCTTGTAGGTTGATCTCCATCTTCATTTTTTTGTCACCACCCGAGGCTGCAACGATGGCTCTGGCGCAGGTTGTAATCATCACCAATCTTTGACGTTTCTTGCTGTTGTTTCCAGTAAAAAACCGGGCAAACTTTTTGGGTGCTTCTACATGACTATTAACACCCCCCTTTCCATCCGGAGAATGAGGTGCCGGACTAGTGTGTACAACAGCGTTACCCAGCTTCAATATCCGCTCATTAGACCTAGTCAAAACTGGAGACCATTCAATATCAAGCTGGCTTGGTGGTGCCAGTTCGGTGATAACACGAGGAGGCTGAGGCCTAGAGCCCGGTGGCCCTCCATTCGATGATGCTCCATTCCGGTGAGATGAGGAGTTAGATGCGGAGGCATAATCGTCAAGTTTGATTATTTTTGCTTCTGTTGGTGGTGCGACGTACGGCTTTAGCCTCGGCGCCTTCTGTTTCCAAAGTTTTCGACCCCACTCAACCCCTTCAAAAAATTCGTGGTTTTTGATATGTTCTATGCTTAGCCTTTTCGCAGGGTCCAATACCAACAGTCTTTCAACCAAATCCTTCGCCACCGGGGGAAACCCTTTTGGAAATTCGTATTCCAGGTTGACAATTTTCTGGAACGTTTGATATTCATTCCCCGCCTTGAAAGGTGGCCGTCCAGAGAGTAACTGAAAGACTATACACCCAAATGCCCACAAATCAGAAGCCTTACAAGCTGCCTTGTAAGTCAAAAGTTCCGGAGAAACATATTCTGCCGTTCCCACAAATGAATTTGCTTTCGCGTCATCACCTTCTGTTTGGTCATTAGGATATGAACCTGCACCATTAGCTGAATCCCCATTCGTTCCGTCCCCTGTCTTTTCTGGTGGATCAAGAATCTTGGCGGTTCCAAAATCCGTTATCTTGACGCGCATCTGGTCGTCGAGGAGTACATTTTCGGGTTTCAAATCGCGATGAATAACGCCTTTTATATGCATATACTCAATTGTGTCCAAAATTTGTGCAGAATAATACCGAGTGCACTCTTCATCGAAAGTAGTCATCTTCAGAATTAATTAGTTTTACACAGCCTGAGATAAATAATGAATGGATTTGTAACGTACCCTTTTCAGGAAACCTAAAAGCTCACCACCCGCCGCAAGATCTAGCACAAAATACAAACTTCTCTCGTCCTGAAATGTATAATACAATCGTACTACCCCCGGATGTTCCCCCAACCTATTCAAGGTGTTTTTCTCAATATTGACGTATTTGACCTTTTTTTCTTTGATGATGTGTCGTTTATCAAGGACCTTAATGGCGTATTCTTTCAGTGTTGTTCGATCAGTAGCAGCAACAACCTATCACATTGTCAGCCAAAAGAGGACAAAAATCGAATATTTTTCGAAACTCTAAACATACAGTACTGTAGCTTCCTTCTCCCAAAGTTCTCCCAAAGTTGAAATCTTTAACCCCTTTCTTCACTACACGTGTGACCGTGTTCCCGTTAGCATCGACGTCCTTTTGGATCCCCATAGCTGCACCCTTCTCCTTCCATTCATCACTGCTCGCGAGAGGTCCATTCTCGTTATACATTCCTCCTCCTCCCCCTCCACCTTCTTCTCCACCGGATCTTATTGGGAGTGGTATTCCCCTGCTGCTTCCTACACGAGGGGGGTACGGACCTGTTGGATGGGATTGACGGTAGGACCTGTCTGTGTTGGAACGCTCTCTTTGTGTCTGTCTAGAAGCTGCTCCAGAAGGGCCTGATAATGATCCTCGCGAGGGCTCACGAGTCATGCGAGCATAGTCGGGATACATTTGAGGATTCGAATTGATTGACGCGGAGGACGAAACGTTTTGCGAGGGGTAGCCAGAGGATGCATTAGATTGATATGGCCCTGGGGCAAACTGGGAATTCGATCTTGACGGCGGAGTGGGTGGGGGGTATGTAGAGCGAGGCGGTGGCACTGAATGCTGCGACCCGACAAAAGATGAGCTTGGAGACTGGCTCCCAGCTGGCGCATTGCTTGTTGGTGAATTTGCAGAGTAGTTTTGGTGAGAATAAAAGGAGTGAAGATCTGGGATGTGAATAGTAGAAGTGTTGTTTGAGTTTGACGAAGTTCCCGTACGGGGTGACGGGGGAGGCGAGTCTTCTGTCTGATTTGCAATCCGCAGCCCCCCTAGCGCCTGCGAGAGGTTCAAATCACCCTCCATTTATTCTCTCTGTTTGTACTTGAGCTTTATCTCACAGTTGTTTCGATTAAACCAGTCCAGTCAAGAGCTGCTATTGTTAATTCAAGGCCGATGTTTCTACCTAGAGTTGTGATCTAGAAAGGGGTAGGCAGCGGGTGACGGGGGTGGGGGTAGTAGCGAGTGTGATCCGAAGGTCGAAATTTCTTGAGGGTTTGGTGTGTGGGAGCTAAGCAAGCTGGGTTGCGCTATGCCTAGATTCTAAGATTAAACGAAACAGAACGGCCGGATCCTCAGAAACTTATTGAAGTGATTTCAATATTTTCAATTGCAGCCTTCCATGAATTCAGCAGAACACGATATAGAGGACTATTATCGTTGTGGAGCAGCAGGAGAATCGCGAGGCTGAAAGTAGCCGGCTTGTATCGGCTCTACGGTGCGCAATCCCCAGAGAATTCGGTAAACTGTCGGCGATTAATTCAGAAAGAACCTGCTGAATTGGGTTGGGTGTTCAGCCGTGGAAAGAACGTAAGAGAAGTGAACGACCCTCCTTCTGTCTTCTTCTTCTTCTTTTTCTTCCTGAGGTTTCTGGAGACGCTAGGTGACTCGAGGAAGGGGGGTGTGAAGAAGTTATTGTAGTGTATAAGGGGAGTGAAAGGGATAGTGAGAAGGGATTTGATGGAGGAGGTAACGGACGACGATGGTTGGATTGATGACTGGGGGGCGAGAGGGAGGTGATGAGGGCCAGCTGCAATGACGCTCCTCCAGATGGGTCGTGATATGGATGTGATGTTCAGTCGGAGGGTAGAGAGAGCCGAGAGAAATAATGGAGGGCCGGGCAGCGAGCAAGCAAGGGAGGCGAAGTTGTCAAGGTGTTCGCCCGTATATTCACTCACGCCTCTCTACATACGTGTAGAACCTATCACTATTCTTTCCTCCCAAGACCCCTCAAGAGCCCTAAAATAAGAAAAGAGACATCACTTACTCCACCCCCTCCCCCCCGATATAGTCGTAATGCACGATGTTGAAAGAATTATGCGCTCATCTAATATGTGTTGAATGACTGTATGTATGTGCTTCCTTTGCTTTTTATGGACTACTCCACTCTGCTCTATATGTAGACATTTCACCCACTCAAGAACAATAGGTACCTACAATGGGTAGAGCACAGCTAAGTCCACATTATCTTCACGAATCATCGCAGAGATGTAGAGATACACGTGCGACAGGGATTGACACGCACTGCTGCCTGGCTAGGTAATCTTGGATTCCCGCATAACACAATATCAACATATACCAGTACCACTCTATAGCTTCGTACATGTACTCTAGGTGCATTCCTACAAATAAAGGGCAATGATGATGTTGGGTGGAAGTGAGCGCAGTACACAGTACATTTACTCTAACTGTTCTGCTCTCTTGAATTTCATGTCGCTCAATCTAATTATACATACATGTATTGTAAAATGATATTAATAATAACTTCGTGAACATGTATGTACTTGGATGTGCTTCTTTAAAAATACATGTACCTGTATTATCTCGAGGAGCGTGTAACTACAACGCGTTCATACCCGTAATTTCTCACATATGTAGACGTGGACACGTAGATCAAAAAAAGAATGTGGAGGAAACAGGTAACGGTAACGGCCTTGCTGACTTGACTTGACGGAACTCCACTACATACAGACTGTCAAAGTTAGAGTTGTACGCGTGGGCGTGAGACCACACGGCCAGGTTTTCTTACGCTCTTCCAATCCTCGACGCCGACAGAGCATTTCAGCCATCTCAGGGTTTCTGAACAATCATCTTCTCTTGATCTCCTCCAGAATCCTGTAGGGGACCTGCCCGTAGAGCAAGTACCCGCATGATCTCCCAAAGCACCCCGTTGACCGAGACAACAAGCAAGTGCCTCCCCCCGGTGTCCACCTGAAAGCGGAAATAGCCAAATTTATACTGACAGTCCATATTAACAGTTGCATGCCCTGCGTCATGGGCTAGACTGTGCGGGCCAGCCCAGTTAAGTCTGGTATGATCTGGTGATCTTCAGGGCACAATTTGCGGCCTCTCCCTAGCACTAGCCGTTTCCATATCCTTCTAGCCAGATCGGCTCCCAGACACTGAAAAGGAAGTTATCAAGGAAAAGGTGCCAGAAACCTCTTGGAAGAAGCTCAGAGAGCCTCCGAATCAACGGATTCCACCTCTGAAATTTACGACTCTAGTGATTATACATAGCACTGATGATTGGAAGTTTAACAAAACCAATGACATCCAACCCTAACCCTCTCTCTTCACCACGGTAATGTTTACCCTCGCTGGGATCAAAGCTATCGCATTAACCAATTTCAATCTGCAAACCCAAGCTTCATGTTCCCTACCCGCGCTTGTCTTTGCTACTAGGTACGGAAAGGAGTTGCAGGCATCCGAAAGATTAGCGATCAGACGAACTCTGTTCAGATAAGGCTGTCACACACAAGCACCTACATACTTCGATCAATTGCTGATATATAGTTATATACATGACTATATATATGGCGGGTAATATCCGGGGGATCGGGGAGGATTCATGTTATAATTCGTCATTTCCACAACCTGAATTATAGAGTGCCTGGAGGTTGGTGAGGAACAATGTGATGCTGCCAATAATAACACTAGCACGCAACGATTGCTATTGATCTTGACACTGATTGAATTCAGCATGTCTTCTAGACATCACACAACGTACTTGGATATACAAATCCTCAACTATATAACTACGTGTATATAAGTATATATGTACGTATTTATCTACTTACTTACACAGGGATATCAAAATTTCTGTACATGTACCTCGAAGCGCCTAAGGATTAAGTCATTTGGGGGACGTTACACTTAGTCGCGGCGATACTTCCGTGAGTTTCCCCACAAAACACAATTGACGATAACTTGGCAGATCTTTGGGATTTATACGGTTTTTTTTCTTTTTCCAATATCTATTGACCAGATTGTTTCCCGGTAAAGCTTACCCAGCTAGCTAACATTGCTGCTCATGCAAAGAGTCTCGTTGTCATTGGGCACCATGCAGTAAATCTAGGCTCGAGAACCGGAAGAGCTTCCTTGGCTTATTATTATAAAAATGTTGCTGGACAAAGATCACACGAGTGACTAGACTTAGGATACCAGAACTATCAGGCTTGGCACACAAACTCACCACATCGCACTCGACCAGAACACCGCTTATTTTTCACGATATCAATCGCACGGGAGCTACATAAATACATATACAGTCGAATCTCTCTATAACGGTACGCCCGGGACCGGAGATTGGTACCCTTATAGCAAGCGTTATTTTGTACTTAGAAGGGCAAATAAGGACCGAGAAGTCGTACCCTTATAGGGCGATTATTCTTATAGGAGGTACCCTTATAGAGAGATTCGACTGTAGCTCGGTCGGGCTCGAAAAACAGTTCTAAATTAGTCTAGATACTCCACCGGAAACTATGCCTTTCAACAAGGCGCGATATATCGATACCAATCTAGTAATTAACTGGAATAAACTAAGACCTTTGCGACGATTTTCTTGGTACATAATTTAAGTATGTACGTTGAGTACATTATATAGCGACTTACACATAGCCAAAATTCTCCAGATAAATCTCGTATACTTCTAGAAATATCAGGGTACGATTAGCTAGACCCGGTAGATTGGGTGGTTTCCAAAATAGAACACATTTATCATACTGCATAGCATAAGCTAGCTTGCAATCGCTAAAGACTCCTCGAGTGAAGAACGAGCTATCTGTATTTCTCAATGCGGGGCATCATAGATAAGCAGTCACTTATCTAACTAGAGCATTATCTAAATCTGATCACCTTGCAGGGACACTGAATCTCAGGTGTGTATACGCAATGGCCAGGGTTATGATTATTTTTAGTCCGGATTGGAAGATTTACCTTGACGTAGCGAGAGAGTCGGGAGATTATCATACGTACGCTGTCACAGTACTCCTTCTTTTCGCGAAATGCTGTATGAAACGAGGGATGGTCATTGTTTCATTCGGATTACATATGTGGCTTTAGTTACGTCCAGTAACACAAAAATAGAAACCATCGCTTTTAAATATTTTGAGAACGAAATGTCATGAACTTTTTTGCGATAGTTGCAACATCAAATTGCAAAACCCGAAAGACCCTGGAACCTAGCTAGACATCACGGGTAATAGTCCGCGCCGTTATCAAGTTGTAGGGATGTAGAAAGAGGCTGTGCAGATGCTGATACTCAGACCTTGGGCAGCTACATCATGTACGTTTGTTAATAATTAAAGGGACATACCAGGGTCATTCGCGTGTAACCCGGGACTTTATCCAAAGATCATGGATCATCACTCCATAGATCCAGTCAATATCTATTACAAGCGCAGAATTATAAGCAATTGATAGATCGAGGGTGTCTGAGAGTCTTCTTGAATACGGACGGCCGAGCGCTAGCTCCATATTTGTATAAAAATAAATGGCCGCTGATCGAGACTGTGATCAATGATCATGTCATGATGACATGAGTATATATAACTATGATAGATTCCATTAATGTCATCCAAATTCAACCATCGTAGGGTGAGATTTTGTTCTCAGAACAGATATATCAAACTCGATTTTGATCGAGGGAAGAAGGGGGACCAACTCCTCCGAGTGAGGGCGATCAAAGCCTGGCGTATATTCTGTTGACAGGCTGAGTTTATATCTCTCACAATCGCAGAATTTTCTCTAGTCCTGACCAATTCTGTTCATAATATCTAAATGGAGTCCTATGAAAGTATTCGACCGATAGAATTGGGTAAAAGTAAGTTGATATATATAGAATGTTTGCTTTAGTAAGTAGAGTGAATCTATCTTGCGGAAGTACATGTATAGTCCTCTAATTTTACTACTCAATGATGGCCAGCCAAAGTCAATGATCAGTTAACCAGTAACAACAAAATTAACTATCCAAACGCCTCGCCTTGGAAATTACTGAATACTAGCAAGCGGAGTTTAAAATATTCACGGACATAGGGACTCTGCTCACTGATACATTAATAACTCGATCAGTGAGAAGCACGAGATATATGATGTATATTGTGGGAACTGCTTCATGTACGATCGAGGCTTATAATAGGTAGGTCATAGGGTGCATGCACATACATATACAATACCGGAAATGGTGGTAATTACGCCACGGTAGTACTCTTTTATTGCTTGTAACAAAAACTGATACCATCGGAGTCCTGTGATACTTCCGTACTCTTTTATATAATAGATTATTAGTATAAGTAGTAGCAATCGGGTAAAAATAAAATATATTTGGAAATACGCATTATTTAGTCAATACTGATTCTCTTACATCCAGTATTCTTACAGTATCGTAAGAAATCTAGTATTGGTATGGTATTGATGTGGTAATTCGCCTGAGTACCGCATCTGTACCGCTATGGTTTATACCAAAATGTCGTTTTCAGGCCTGGAGACTAGCAGGTTCTCGATATAGAATTTAAAACTGACCGTAGAAATTATATTTCTGTCGGTTTTGATACCCTGGGTGGTGGGGCGTACATGCGCATGTGTGAATAGATTCAATTAGATACATGTTATAGGCTGGTTGGTACGGAGCGGTGAGTCTGTTTGGAGTTAATCACTGACGAAGCCTATACTACAACATGTAACAAGATACTATGTGACACTGCTACTAGTCACAGCGTGACAGCCATGAGGATGACAGTAATTGCGTGGCATGCGGCGTTACTGATGGTCAGAGCGGGGGTAGTGTGGTCCATGAGCCGACCTGGCTCGAGCCCAGCGAGCCTTACCCTCCAGCGAGCCTGAGCCGGCTTGAGCCGTTTTCTCTAAGGCTCGAGCTTAGGATCGAGCTTAATTTGCTTGAACTATGTAGGCTCTAGAAGCCATAAGAGAAGCAAAAAGGAGATTTATACCGACTTGAATGCTTAGTTAAACAATTAATTCCTTCTCACGGTATTACTACATGAAATGAAGCCTATATGTAACCTGCGCCTGCTCTTTTACTACACTTGGTGCAAGGATAACCTGTTTTTTGTATCATTGACCACCGGCTCGAGCCAGCTTATGAGCCTGTCACCAAAGCTCGAGCCTTGTGAGCCTCTGTCTCCCACGAGCCGAGCCAGCTCGAGCTTATGCGTCGGCTCGACTCATGGACCACACTAAGCGGGGGCGGCCTTGATGGCCGCTCTGGCATACTAGAATTATTGGTATGGTATTGGGATGGTATTGATACAGTATCCCTCAAAATTTATTATTTTCCGCCATACAGTACAAATTCCACCCAAATGCAGCACTTTATTTAACACGTCTTCATAGGAATAAACAATTCCCAACACTACTGGTTAACTTCGGGGCGTCTGAGCAGCAAAAAATTGCTTACCTTACGGCATTACTACTGTAACTAGGGTACCCCGATTTCCGGTATTGTACTTACATGTATTTACATGTACGTAGAGTACTCTATAGTAGAGTATATGTACGTATATAACATACATACATTAAGTACGTATACGTACGTGGCGGCCGTGGACTCAGAGTACAGTGCGTTGCTTGGTTCTAAGAGACACCACATGTACTTTGTTTCGGTATAGAAGAACCTCATTTCTAGATTTTGTAAAGATGAACGTTACCTCAGCTGCGGATGAATGAAATCTGTCCACTTAGATTGCGCAAGAGGACAACGGATAATTACAAGGATGCTGAGTTCCTCCCAGCATATATATCTAACTCCCTAACTCACCGAAATTTAACATTCGAACTATTCGAACCATTCGAACTCACTACATATAATTATACTGGCATAGAAAACCAACGGCAAGCGATTAAGTCTTTAACTTACTATATCACATGACCGACGTCTTCATATTACAACAGGCTCTAGATCTTTTCAAACCGACCATGGCGGGGATGATTCGATTAAGACCCACACAAATTATCCTAACCGGCGAAGAAGTCAACAAAACTCTCCATAAATCATATCCAACCGTCCCAAAATCACAGACATTGTCTGTACCACTTCAATGGGATCATAACGTTACGTTTAGAAAAGGACGAGGCACAATGATAACCGAAAAAGCTAAAGCGTCATGTTTTGGTATCCACGAGGATAGCACTACCCTCAGTGAAGCTGATAGTGACGAAATTTCCGAAATGTCAGACTTCAGCTTTGGACCTATACTCTTAGATATCAACCCCAGCGATACGAACTCTGTGATAGCTGAAGCCAATTGCAGTTCTGAAGATGGTGACGAGGGCAGTGGCGGAGATAGCGTAAAGTCAGCCTCTTGGGATGGAGAGTACGATACTAGTGTGGATACCCTTACGAATAATTCTATTGGGTCCGATGATGAAACATTAATTCCTTCGACACTTAACGTTGGTGGTTCGAATTTTCTTCTAGATAGAGCTAGAGAACAGGACGCAGTTTGGGAGATATACTCAGATACTCCTGCTGAGCATGAATTCATGGTCAATGGCGCTACACATGATACTCCCGACGTTTACGACTTCGAGTATCAGGCAGATGCTGAGTTAATGTCTATTGGGGATGATGCGATGTCAGGACAAGATTCGGATGCGGAAAACTGTGCCCAGGAATCTTATTCTCTGCCTATGGATGGAGCAGGCGAACACAGGCTCGGTGAAATATTCGCAGATTTGGATCTCTACGCATCGCCAGCTTCTCCTGCACAAAAAAACTCGTCATTCCGCGAGAAAGAATCGCCTTCCAGCCGGACTCCAGGATTTCTGGAGGTTCCAGATAGCTCAACTAATATCACTCCAACTCCACCCTCGGTTCGGAGGCTTCTCAACGAGATTCCCCCACGACTAGAAGATGTTATTGGGCTGTCGCCTCGCCATTTAGCTTTATCACGTGCCATTCTTGCTCGATATCGCTCTGATCACACAAAAAACTCAATTCCTTCTCGATCTAATTCATCAAGCATTCACGAAGGTAACAATCACCACCACCAACGCTCTCGTACATCTTCTCAACAACGATCAGTTTATTCCAGGGACTTATCTCCTAACCGTTCTGGGCATCGTTCATTCAGTGAAATTATAACAACCCTCCCAACTCAGGAATACCCCAGCGCTGGTATCGACGATAGTGATGGCAGGATACAAATTCTTGGAAATAATCCCTGGGGAGATGTCAATGCAGATAGCCATTACGACGAAAGTAACGTTGGTTTCTCAGACGAGGTGGAAGAATATTCTGCAAGAATATTAGATAGATAATGACTCTATACGAATCATTACCACACCCCTTAGAATAGAGGCCTAAAGAAATACAGGCTTATGAGGCATCAAAAAGACAGCCTTATGAATTGATTATGAGTGACACAGCTGTGTCGTTATTGCTCATTCATCGCCCGTATTTTTGGTTTGATTGAAGTGAAGAAATATTATATCCTGATATGGTGCGCCCAATCATAAAGGTAGTCAAAAAATTGGGGCGAGGTCGAGGTTGAATAACTTTCCAACGAAACAAATTATGAAAAATCCGGTTGGTAAAATTGAAGTACTAGTGATGAAGAAGAACTTTACCAACCAGATTTTTGATATCTCTCCTGGTTAAAAAGTTATTCAAGCTTGAAATTCGGTATTTTAGTATGTAAAAAGCGCCAAGACTAAACAAAGTGGAACAGTATTATACCCATTTATACCCTTAAAGAAGCAAACCTGATCAGGCCATGGCAGTGATGCAGCAGAAGGCTAGAAATGGGCCCTCTTATTGGCCCATGAGGCCATATTGCAGCCACAATTGTTCCACTTCTGTATCTTCCGTATGCCACCCCATCACCTTTAAGAGTGTGCGCACCATACTTCATGCATAATGATCACCGACGTTTATTCGTGATACTCAGAGGCTGATCATATTAGCATCAAACTACCCAAAGTGGCTTGCTAAATAGAATCAACTGTAGTAATTGGTAGTTTCTCATGGGTGGTTATGCGGTATCACGTCTATCAAGGTAGACGCAGCCCTCAAAACAGGATAAACTTCATGAGTTTTAACAGACTTCAAATCAGCTAGTCTCAAGCCCTACCAAGAATTAAGAACTCCATCCACTTTTGCTATGTAGTACTAAACTTCGTAGAAGTATCTCATTGATCTATATAAAGTACGTGTATGTGGATATATTTAGATATAAATGCATAGTACAGGAACCACTATATATACTCAACCATCATTATTCCTAAGCTTAAGAACTACATATACTTTTGAGTGATGAATCATATTGGCATAGCCGTAAGGCTGCATGTAATTAATGAATTAAACAAAAAAAAAAAAAAAAAAAGGAGTGATGAATCATGCATTATCACTCGTTTGTTTCTCTTTCACGGACAAGTCTACCCAGGCCCTAGTCTCGTGGTGGGCTCATAATATACATAGACAACAAAATCTACGCGTGAGTGCTATATAGAGTTTTGAAGAATCCACGGAGATATACATAAACACACATGTAGCATTTCAATCCTTAGCTTTCGACAATTTTATGCAACAGTAAATACATGAATCATTATTCTTGTTGCATAGTCTTTGGACAGTGTTATGCATGTAGCCATCTCTTCTTGCACGTGAAAAGGGAGTTGGTGCATATCATGCCAGATAAGCGAGTGATTTTCTATGACTCACATCACTTTTCTGACCACCACTGTTAATACTAAGTACTGGTACATACAACTGAGATTAACACCTCCAATAATCAAAACGATCAATCATTCTTAACATATATTCGCATCATGTAGCAACGATTAGTTATCGCTGCAGCCTTGAAGCACATACATATGATAAGCCAGGGCTAGGGCAGACATTCCAACCATTCTACTGGTTTTCTCGCTGGTGACACGAAGTTGGTATCTTGGCATCAAGGCTGAGCACGGCTACCGGCTGTCGATCAGGTGCCTATGTTGTTTTTTCCCCCCTCTTTGTTTTGTTTTTTTGTGACTGCGTGGAAAAATGTTACAGCCTTTTGTACCTACTTGCAGGGCTTAGGTAATCACATGGTTCACTGAGTCGCGAGTTGCGCTCTTTTTCGTATTGAATCGCGCAGAAAAGATGAGAGAAGGCAAAGGTCCGGCCATATTCATTTTTATACTGCCCATGATTGGTGCGATCGACCCCGGGCCCCAGGAGAGTCTCAATTTCGCCCGAGCAGCTTGACTTGCTATGAACAGGACACATACGACCGCATCGATAGCTAGATTTGGGAATTGACATTTTTAAATATATTATGCATGTGTAGCGTTTAGAAAACAGCTTAAACACAAGCTATCGCGCGCGTATCGTAATAATCGAATAGGTAGAAGTACATATGCGGCTACTATAGTGAGCCTATCGGCTGAGGCTGTATACGAGACTCACATGATTTTAGTCTTCTTCCAACTGAACGCCAAAGTTCCACTAAGCTTTCAATAGGGCTTATGAATATTGTTCCTTTGGGCTTCCAGACGTAGCTGATATATTTTGTCTCGTTTCGATGCATCCGCGGTCTGGTTCCTGGTTCATACTCTACACCCCTGTGCCGTTTCCTGCTGACATACATAGGGGTAAACTGGGATCAATATATTACTTTTGTTAACCTTTTTTCTTGTTGGTTAGTGGTCGTTGATATGTATGGCTTAGCAGAGGCGCTCGGGGTCATCGAACGGTATCATTGGCTGAATTGACGAAAGGTCGCACCTATAAATCCAAAGGGGCCCCCCAAACCGGATATTGCATTCTTCACAGGAAATCTCACATTTTCGAATACAAAAAGGTTGTAATCCTCCCCTGAGTTTTCTCCTTTAGCAACATTGCAGGCCGATACCAACAGTCTTTCCAGAGCAAACGTCTACCTCCAAATATCGCGCAGAAACCAAAACCACAGTCACTCTATATTCAATTAGCTGCACACTCGTTAAAAATGACTTCCCGACCAGCCTATATTCTGTCGACTTTCATAAATCTTATCCTCTTCCTCTTCATTTCATACTGCTCTGCGGCGCCGACTTCAACTCATATTCTCGAGAAGCGAAAGGGAGGCGGCGGTGCTGGTCGCGGTAGTAAAAAAAGCGGAGTCATCGCTGGAGTTGCGATGGCTGGTCTTGTCGGGGTTGGAATATGTTGTTATGCTTTCGTTTGTTGTACTAGATGTATCCCTTGTTGCGGGGGCAGGAAAAAGACTGCGGAGGCGGCAGAGGCGGGAGTAGTACCAGAGGAAGAAGCCAAGCTTGATCAAGCTACACCAGAAAGCAGAGGAGGGGAATCTCAATGGAGCGAAAAATAGCGGAGTTCGGCAAACCCCCAAGAAACAACACGCACCAACTTCTCAGGCAGGATTATGGTGGTCAGTAGAATACGATGACGATGATCAGCGGCGCCACAACGATCTCGACAACTGTCAACCCACCAGGTGTGGGATGGCGAGAAAGAACTCTTGTGGTGATGGGGGATAATTCATGTTAAACTTATCTATCTTCTTTATGTTAAAGTTACATTATAATCACATTCATTCTCTTTTCATATTTCTCCTCTAGCGTAGAGCCAGTGGTTTCCCCGCCCTCAGGATATTCGTTACATTCCTTTCTATGCGTGTGCGTGAGCACATGTCCGATCAGCCTTTTCCTGCACCTTGTGACTTGACAAATCAGTAAATTTTTGACAGTACATACATACCTAGAGTACTCTACTCCACAAGTGACCAGCCTTCAAAGACATGCCTACCATATTTCTAGCATAATTCAGTGGTGGTGGTTGAGTGGTTGCATGTTGTAAGGTTAGAGTGTGTCCTAGCGTCAAATAGCATATAAGGTTATGCCAGGGTCTAGGTCTAGGCTCGATACCTTGTATTAAAGTACCATGGCCAACCATGGCCACCGCATGCACAACATGCTACTGAATACCAGCTTAGGTACACTATTCGGTTATATACGAACTTACCTTTCAATGATACGTACATGTGTCTATGTGGGGAATGAACTTTTCGGCTATATTCTTGTCCGTGGGGTTGTGGAGTTGTTTCAGGGTAAACATTCGCCCGGACTTGGGAAATCTAGCTCATCTACTCTATATATGTCTCTTTAGTCATGCATGGTTTCCAGCATACGTATACGTCATGTACTGAACGTCACACTCCTCTTAAAGTTCCCCATGGCATATCACTCGTCCGTGGTATGGTAGTACGTACTCATCGATATTATATATATTAAACTACTGCAAGGTCTACATAATATAACACACAATCGATAGAAGAGAAATCAACGTTATTGGGTCTAGATTAATTGTTTCAATAAAGGGAATATCTACTTTCGAGTTTCAGGCGCCACGAACTAGAAACTTGTATATATATTATAATTAGATCTCATTATAATATAGATAAACTTGCAAAATGTGGTGATGGACTTTTTTCATCTCAACCGAGACAAACCAGTCCACCACTTACTTAACGGTACTATATACAATATACGTACTGATTAATGTGTACATGCACTACATACATGTAGTTACTAATAACTAAAAGAGGTCTTGCATTGGGGGTTGGCTTTAATGTTTTCTACAATAAACCTCGAATAAAAAATTTACCAAGATCTAGATAGTAAAACCGGATCTCGGTACAAACACCACCTCGTAATATTGATCTTCCAAGTTGGTTGATACATATCAAGCTGGCTTTAATTTGGTGTGCATGGCGCATATGTACTGCTGGGAACGATATTCCTTATATATATATGAATTCGCTCTTCTACAGAGAGAAGTGGGTGGCCCGCATAGTCCAGCTGGGGCCTTTCTTCTTCGTGAATATACATTTATAATGAATGCTGTATATTGCCCTGCCTTTAGTGGAATTCAATGATACATTACCGTCGAAATGCGTAAAATAATAAGGCTTGCAGTAGGCTTATCGCCAAAATAAGGCATGTTTGAGCGTTTTTTGACGAAAAATTGTGTCCTTAGCCTTTTCTCCATATAAGGCCTAAAAATTTTTAATCATTTGCCGAAAAAAAGGATTATATACATCTTTAGGTCTCTATACACATTAATTTAGTTTAAGTGTTGTGAAATAATTTAAGCCTTTATACCAGATAAGTCTTTTTATCAAATAAGACTTTTTCCGCAAATAAGGTTTATATAAGATTTGTAATTTCCGATTTTACTAGCATTTCATCGGCTATCCTGCCTATATATTACCTCTAGCAAAGAAATTTCAGTTCTCCCATAGCTTAGTGGGTAGCATGAGGTACATTCTACCTAC